CAATGCCAGGGGCGAATACATCCAGCCAGCACGCTTGCCCATGGTCAGGCAAACGCCCTGGTTCAAACTTGCCAGCTCCAAACCCCAAAACGCTTGAGCAAGAGGCCAAGGTCAAGGACAAGGCCCTCACTTTGCAACCCAAGTGATTTGCAGAACGCTCAGGCGCTAGCAACGTGCATAGACGACTCTTTGTAGGCTTCTCGGCAATCCAAAACCACAAGCCCCCAGAGAGCCTGTTGCCCTGCAAAAAATATGGAACTGACTTAAATCTTGGTCCATCCTGCGATTTGAGTAGCCGCTGTCCACCTCATGCATTTGCGCAGAATTACTACGAACTGAAAGCGCTGCTAGGCCCACGGCGCTGCTGCGATGTCCTCGAACTTCGACCAGCCCAGGGTCGCGGCGCCAAGCTTGTTCGTCTGCAGGCGCAATCGACTCTTATTTATTACATGTAGTGGTTTTGTTGGGGCCCACACCTCAAAACTGGAGTCCTTCTGCGTGTTGTACTTTGTCAGCAGCGGTTCTTGCACCGCTGATATGAAAAAAGCTTTGCCCACCAGCCTTGCAAGATTCGAATTTGCGTAATATTCCACAGTGAGTGTGTGGGACCGCACGTACACAAACACACGAAGGCTTCTGAGCTTCAGGCAAAATCCCAATGGTAGATTTGCAGTCAGCTGGCCCTTGAACAGTCCAGGACCTTCAGGTTGCGCACGCGCCACAAACGGTGTTTTCAATGCGTTGATTTGAGTTGGGGGCTTTAAGTAGTGCTCAGCCCTCGGCTTGAGGTTGCCCACCAGTGCATCTTCAGGAATCTTTAGGAAATCGCTTTTCTCTGCAATGGGAGCCAGCTTCTTAGCCATTTCCGCAAGCTTGCTGGAGTCTGCAGAAGCTCGAGGCTGAGGGACGTCCTAACAGGTTCCAGACCCAAAGGGGGCTAAGGCACTTTGGGGCCATTTTCGATAAACAAAAAATCCCCTGATGTCCTTGTGTGGCTTCTTAGAAGTGTCCTGATCATCTTGTTTATTCGGTTTCCTCTTTGGTGCCCTTGCTAGCTCTTTGTCACCAGTTGCTGCGGCTGGCTTTCGCATGCTAGCAGCTGTAGGCGGCGCTTGTTTGTTCGCAGCTCTTTTCGACCCATCGGTAGCTTTGCGCTGTCCCCCACGCTTGTTTGTTTTGTTTCTTTTTCCCCTGCCTGTTCCCCTGCCTCTTCCCCTGCTTCTCCCCCTGCCTCTTCCCCTTCCTGTTCCCCTTCCTCTTCCCCTTCCTCTTCCCCTTCCTCGGCTCCTGCCCTTGCCAGAGGGGGAGGAGACTTCTGAGCTTTCCTCGCCTTTCTCTTCTGCATCCTTTGCTGCTTTTCGCAGAACTTTTTGAGCCTCGACAGTCAGGCTATATACATGACATTTTTGGGTCTGGATTGGCCCAGGCCTGCAGCAGGTCTTCGTTGTCCTCTGCCTTGGAGGCCAGGAGCTCAAACGCACTCCGGGCAGCTTCGGGAAGCACAGGCGCTTTCTGAAGAAGAGGTTCTCGGTCCTGGCCGAAAGAGGATATGGGGAATAATTCTTCGAGGGTGACCATGGCAGTTTTCAACACAAGAATCAATTGCAACACAGGCACCTTGAAGGTTCCTTTCACCTTGCCCTTCACTGGAGTTTCGTCAAATGACTCTTTTTCAGCGCTTCCTTTTGGGTTCTTCACTTCGTTCTTCTCGGGTTCGGGATGAGTAGCAGTACTGGGCACTTCAACCAAAGGGTCTTCTTCGGTTTTTTCCTCTTCAGCTTCCTCACAACCTGTCTCCTCAGGCCCTTGCAACTGGTCGCCGTCAACTTCTCCGTCGATATCTTCCTCAGGCGCGGGTTGGAAAGGTGGATTTCTGGAGTGCACATCCACGGCGGCAACATTTGACTTGTTCCACCCCTTCAAGAATTATAGCCTTGCAACTCTGAGGCTGGGGCCTTGCACTTTTTTGAGGAAACCTGATCGCCGCCTTGTGCAGATAGAAAGGCCTGCGCGCGGCAATGTGTTTTCGAATGAGGTGTTCGGTTGAAAGCAAGGGCCTCTTTTGCTTGGAGGGCGGCAGCCTTGAGCTGGTTCATCCGCTCATGGCCCTTCCTGCAGCTGCTCAGTGTGGAAGTCACATGGGTTAAAGGGCTCACGTGAAAACAGTCTCCTGGCGCCCTGTGGATTCCTGGAGGTTCTTCGACAAACAAAGCTGCCAAATGCCCGATGAAGAGCTGCCTCTTTGTCGAGCCATGCCTAAGAACCCCAGGGCATCGAAGAAACAAAAATGGCAATATGGGCTCGGGCTTCCAATTTATCCTGGTTTTGGAAGTCATTCAAACGGAACTTCTCTGAGCAGTACCGCAAAGCTTCCTGCCAGGGCAATCCCTGCAATTGCATTTTTTTCGGGAACATGCTCTTGCCTTGTGGGCTTTCGGGCTTGGGATCTGGCCGGCAAACGTTGCCACGTAGCTGAGGGTGAAGTCAAAGTTGTTGAATGTGCCAGTGACCTGGCAGGACACGGACGCTAAGTACAGTTTTGTTGAGGGGCCCCGGCCTGATCCTCACCAATCTGGGTCTCTTTTCGCTGGATATCCAGGAATGCAAAACCCTGCAGGGGAGGGCCCAATGTGCGCCCCTCAAGCCCGTCACAGAAAAGATCCCTGGCCTTTGTGTCTTTTTTCTCTTTCAGTTTATTGAGGCGTTGACGTATATAGTCAGGCTGCAGCACATCTGTGTAGAATGCCTGCCAACAGGCAAACCCTTAAAGTGTGTTTGGTGGCCAGCTGATTGGAGCCAGCCTTCAGCAGCTCGACATGCTCTGGCCGAGGTTTGCTCTCCGGCATTGACGCGCGCTGCAGCTGCAGCAGCAACAAACTGATGGATGTGGAGGGGTGGGGCAAAATTGTACGTCCATCCCCATGCAAATAAATATGGTGTGAAACCCCGGTTAAAGATGAAACAATTTCAACTCTTTCCTGACCAAAAAAACTCGAGCCTGGTGGCTACAGAAACCATAAAGGTGATCTGCAAAATGACCACGCTCACAGTCACGGGGGCGGAAAGGTTGGGCGCACCTGTAGGAATAGCATCAGGCTCTGTGTCCGCTTCAGGAGACAGGCCTCAAAAGCAGGAAACTGTCACACGCACATTCGTGTTTAACAAATGATGGGTAATACTGAGGATGCAGCATCTGAGAATTCGCTTCGCTCGCCGCATACCATGGCAGGCTTGTTTCGGCCAGCGGCGCGCGCTCACTCAAATTTAAACCTCTTTTTATTCATGGGGACCCTCAACCCTATGCTCAAAAACCTTGAAAAGACTGCTTCGCACTCATGACATGCCTTCTCCCTGCTCGGCTCGGTCCAAGTGTGCACGGGACACATGATGACATGCATGATAATATCCCAGAAAAGTGGTTTATAGCCCCATTTCGTAAAAAGGCCTAGTTTAACTGGTCCTTTATGAAAGGCCTAGTGAAACTAGGCCTTGGAAGCCCTGGGTTATTATTATTATTATTATTATTATTATTATCATTATTATTATTATTATCATTATCATTATTATTAGTATTATTATTATCATTATCATTATTATTAGTATTATTATTATCATTATCATTATTATTATTATTATTATTATTATTATTATCATTATTATTATTATTATTGTTATTATTATTATTATCATTATTATTATTATTAATATTATTATTAATATTATTAAAGATGATAGGTGTCATTTTGGCGAAGACCCTTTTTTGTTTCTAGTTATTTCGAAATGATAGGTGTCCTTTTGGCGAAGACCGATTATTATTATTTTTCGAGATGATAGGTGTCCTTTTGGAAAGAAATAAAGGGGACTTGCCTGGTAAATGGAATCAAAGCAATCTAAACCAGTGCCATCTGTTTCTAATGAGACTAACCGAAAAAGGACGCCTATGCTCAAGACCGGGGCTGTGGTTGAAACGGAATCCACGAAGCTGTGATACAGAAAGGGCCGAACCCCAGAGATTTAGTTTGTATCACAGAAGTGGGGATAAAACCCTTGAACCCACAACCCTGAAGACCGATACACTGGCAGTCCATTTTTGCCACGAAACTTGCGATCGGTGGGACAGGTAGGGAATGAGAAAATTGGAATGAACCCAGGTTTCGGTCCCCTTAAATTAAGACCCCACCACCTTGGGGTCATGAGCATCTCTCGCACCGATCGCAAGTAAATGGTCCTCCAAACCCGCTGTTGAAAGTTCCGGAACTCCTGGAGTGAGGAAACCAAAGATGTAAGATGCCGAAGGTTGATGATACCCCCGGCAAATGAACATGAAACCGAACAAAAGGGGTCCATGCCCCAAAAGGAGCTTCCTTCACAAGTGATGGTTGGGTTCCATGTCAATCTGGGGAGTGGTCGCAAAATATGTTGTTGGGGTCGCCCTACTGGAATGCTGACCCCGCTTAGTACATTATGACCATGGCATCAACTCGTGCTATGTTCCAAACAAAAACACTTGCCTGGGAACCCATAAGTCCCTCTAAAAAACAAAAGCGAACCAGGTCGGCATGCTAAGTTTTTGGTCCCACTTGGGCTTGTCTCAAGGGTCCCTTTACCAAGCAAAACCGGCAACCGGATCGATGGGATTGCTTCGGAAAACGACTCGCACCTTTCTAGGGGTAACTTCCCCATTCTTTCCAGGGATCCTTCTTTGTACAAAACCTCCGGACACCCAGGGAAAACAGATCCGGTTTTTGGAAGGAACGATGGTTGAAAAGAATAAACGATGGTTAGAGTATGGGTAACAATAGGCTAACCCCACAAAATGGGTGGTTGCGGTAAATGGAATCCAGGTTGGAAGAATCGGTTGCGAAATCTGCTCCCCTGCTAAAAGCGAATAACTGTTCGTGGTTTAGTACGGAAAACCCCTCTTCGTTGGCAAAAAGTTAGAATCGTCCTAACAGCCCTTGGCAAAATGCACCAAACCCCTAGAGCCTTGGGCGCCAGGCGTCCTTCTCCTCCCAAGTGCCCGCAGCATTCCACGCAGAGCCCGCTGCCGCAGGCTTCGAGGAAGCAGAGGCCTCGGCCTGGGAGATTCCGAGGCCTAAAATGGCACCGGGCTTTATAAATCCCCAACGCTTGTGGCGGTATATATAGTTTCTTTTTTTTAAAAAAAAATAAGTTGTTGGGTTCGTTTTAGAACCCCAATCATGTGATGTGGTTGCTTAAAAAAAAACACCTTTTTTGGGGGGGGGTTCCTACATACTTGCTGGAGCGATAGGGAGCGAATGGCCCGGGGCTTGGGGAATGAAGTTGGTAAGCCCAAAAAATCGGAACCGCCCGATCGGTTTGGGTCCCGCAAAGCGGTCCAAGTCCTGGTGGAATTGTTCGACCCATGGCAAAATGATGCGTATTTTGTTTGGGGGTTCCATGTTCATCTGCGTTTTGGACATGAACCGCTTGGGAAATGGAATTCCGCCGTTTGGGGATTCCCGAATAAGGGAAACCATAGGGGATGGTTTAGGGGTCACCCCCTCATTCCCTGCTGAGAACCAGCAAGTCTAGGGCCGCTCAGCTGGGTACCTGAAAAAACCCAAAGGCATGAGCAAAATGTGAGACATTAACTTATATGGAGTCATGACCCTTTAAACATGGGTCGATTTCGCTGTGCATTATCCCTCTGACTCCAGCTAGGAGTATGCAGTCAGAGAATATGCAGTCAGGGAACACCGGGCTAGGCTTAGACCATGGCACCATAGCAATAAAACGAGTGAATCGTACCTTGCAAACCTGGAACAAGATGTGTCTTTTTTTAGGCCCTAAACGCGCTTGGCTACGCATCAATTGTAGTTGCCGCCAAAAACGGACATGAGGCGATGTATACATATATATATATATATATATGTGTATATACATACTATGTATATATATATATACACACATACTATATATACATATATGTCTTTTCTCTCTGGGACCCCCCAAAGATGTGGCTTTCCTTGTGGCTTTCTTGTAAAAAACGTTAAAACCGACCAAGAAGACCTCAACAAAAGACAAACCCAAATGGACTCTAGGAACCTGAAGTTGGAAGCAGTTGCAAACCAAAGCCACGTTATTTTTTGCATTGCCGACAGGTATTTGCTCAATTTAACAAATTTGGCCGAGGGAAGGGTACCTTTCATGAGCGACGATACCCCAAGCCGCGAAGGCCTGTTTTGGTCAAGCCCCGTACGGCGTATGAAGCCCCGAACTGAGGCGAAGGCATTTGGCCGATTAAAATTTGTCAATTTTGGCGCGGGCCTCGCGCACCCTGTCTTGGGTTGAGTCGTGGCCAAAAGCATGTCCTGCGGCGCTTCCTTTCAACCCTCGTGTAGCAAACTCTCAGTCTAACCCAGTCCCAGCTACCCTCTAGCAGGTAACTAGCTACTATCGAATGCCCCCTAAAGCCAGCCCGATGAGTCAGGTTGTTTTTGGAGTTGGTAACCCTGTTTTGTGGTTTTCAAAGGGAAACCAAGAGAAAAAACACAGTTTTGGGGGAGTCCAGTAAAGAAGACACATCCATTTGTTCATCGCCGAGCTCTGCAGCCGAACACCCAAAATTCGCTCTCGGCTCGTCCCAACCCCCCGCCTCCAGGCGCGTGGGGGCGAAGTCCTTCTTGGGCTCCGCCGTGGGCTTCCACTCGCGGTGCCGATACCTCGGGAGCCACATGGCGCTGATTTGGCTCCATGCCAACCCAAACCCATGCAAAGCTGACCCAAAAAACCCACCCAGCAGAGAAAAGTCATTGGCTGAACCCGAATGAACCGAAACCAAGACCCGTCCTTGAAATCCCGGGCAGCCTAAAGCGCACCCTAAACCACCCCGAGCAACTCTCAACTGCCACCATATCCGATCCAGTCGGCC